GTGAGGAAGATCAGCCCTGAGCTAACATCCATGCTAATCCTCCTCTTTTTGCTGAGGAAGACCGGTTCTGAGCTAACATCTATTGCCAATCCTCCTCCTTTTTTTTCCCCCCCAAAGCCCCAGTAGATAGTTGTATGTCATAGTTGCACATCCTTCTAGCTGCTGTATGTGGAACGCGGCCTCAGCATGGCCGGAGAAGCGGTGAGTCGGTGCGCGCCCGGAATCTGAACCCGGGCCGCCAGCAGCGGAGCGTGCTCGCTTAACTGCTAAGCCACGGGGCCGGCCCCAAAACATATACTTATTGAGTACATACTTGTGCCAGACACTGTTCTAGGCACATTGAACAAGAAAGATATAAAACAGGCATGCTCCCTGCCCTCATGGAACTTACTTTCCAGAGGGTAGTGCCCCTAAAATGTGTCCCTGCCTCCAGGGTTTCCACCCTCTAATCCAGGGGTTCTCAAACTTCAAAGTGCATCTGAATCACTTGGGGGACAAGGGGCTTGTTTTAAACGCAGATTTCCATCTCCATAACCAGAAGGCAGACAGAGCATGCCTGGGAATCTGCATTTTGAAGGTTCTCCAGGGGATTCTGGTGCAAAGGCTCTGAAGATCTCACTTTGAGGACCACTGCTTTAATGCAGCCTCCCACAAATCTGATCATGAGCTTTCCTTGCTTTAGAACCTCCCATGGCTCCCAAGGACCCTCAGGATAAAGACTAAACCCTTTGCCTGATGCTGATTTTTCACAACCCGGGCCCAAAATACCCCTTGAGCCTCATCTCCGACATAACCCTGCCCGGTCCTCATAGCCTCTCCAAACTACCCATCTTCCTGTGTGTGTGAGCCTCCCCTGATTGCCACCCACCAGCCTTTCTCACCATTCTTTCATGCAGGTAGAGCCCTATTTCCTTAGGGGCCCCCAGCCCAAATGCTCAGGGAATATAGCCCCCCACCTGACCCCAGGAAGCTGGTCAAAATTGGCCTAAGACAATGGCTCTGAAAGTGGGGTCCCCAGACCAGCAGCACCAGGGAACTTGTTAGAAATGCTGCTTCTCAGGCCCCATCCCAGACCTACTGAATCAGCCACTGTGAGGGTGGGGAGCAGCATGTTTTTATAAACCTTCCATGTGATTCTGATGCACACCAAAGCTTGGAAACCATTGGTCCAAGATAATTCCCCTGACCGAGGATTGGTGGAGGCAGGGGCATGTGACCCAAATTTGTAAGGCAGAGACTGCTATGTGTCCTCAGTATCTATGATCCCTTTTTTCTGCAAAGAGATTTTTAGCTGGGCACATGGCCACCTAGAATAGAAGACTACATTTCCCAGCCTCCTTTGTAATTAGGTGTTGCCATGGAAACAAGTTCTGGTCAATGGGATATGAACAGTAGAACTTTGTGCTACTTCCAGATCATCCCTTTAAAGGGAGGAGTTGTGCTCACCCCTGGGTCAGTTTACCCTTCCTACTGACTGCACTGCGGCTGTGTGGAGAGCCATCTTGAAGTTGAGAGCAGAACCTTAGTATGGTGGAGTGACAAGATAGGAAGCCCCCGGGTCCGGGACATACGGAGATGTCATACCTGCCCTCGACTGCTTATGTAATGGAAGAGAGAAACTTCTATCATGTGTAAGCCACTGTTATTTGGGTCTTTGTTACAGCCGAAATATATCCTGGCTAATACATCTGGTTCCTAGATTCCTAAGGGAAGTCTTTTGAAGACTCTCTGGGAAAGATTTTCCTTCACAATGAAAAGACACACAAGAAGGGGAAACCCTTGGCCTCTTCAAGGGTTGATGGCATCAAAAGCAGGATGGTGATGGATGGCATCATGTCTGTATTGCTCCTAAAGCCACTGCAGCCTTCTCACTAGCTGTGTTCGTTTGCTAGGGCTGCCATAACAAAACACCACGGACTGGCTGACTTAGAAATTTATTTTCTAACATTTCTGGAGGCTGGAAATCCAAGATCAAGGTGTCAGCAGGATAGGTTTCTTCTGAGGCCTCTCTCCTTGGCATGCAGATGGCCGCCTTCTCGCTGTGTCCTCACATGTTCTTTCCTCTGTGCGTGCGCACCCCTGGTGTCCCTCTGTGTGTTCAAATTCCTGCTTCTTATAAGGACACCAGTCAGAGGTGATGACAGCCCACTCTACAGCCTCATTTTAACTTAATCATCTCTTTGAAAGTCTTATCTCCAAAAACAGTCTCATTCTGAGGTACTGGGAGTTAGGACCTCAACATATAAATTTTGGGAGACACAATTCAGCCTATTGCAGCAGCAAAGTAGAAAATGTAAGTAACTTGATTCCATTTTTGAGCTGCTCAATTAGCCAGCCCTGAAATCACTTACCATTGGACTTCTTGTCTTGAGAGAGAGTAAATTTTCCTTATTGTCTAAGATACCTTTGATCAGATAGTCTATTGTTTGCAGCCAAAAGCGTCACAATTCTTGCACTGTGTGTTTGCTCAAGCTGTTCCCTCTGCCTAGGGTGACCTTCCTTTCACATGCCCTTCAAGGCTTCGCTTGACTGCCACAGGCTTGGTAAATGGCTCCTGATTCTGCCTTCTCCAACAAGTTGCTTGTCTTATATCCGAGTTCTCTGCTTCTGTGTCTCTCTCTCCAAGCAGACCATAGTCAGCATATGCGCTGTACACCTGCTACCTCATTCCCCCCTCCTGTCCCATGGCAGGCATTGATAATCAATCCGTTTTTCACGCTGGGGGTAGATCTGGTTTTTATAATCCTCTACACAGCACTCAGGCAGCCCCTGCCAGTCAACTGGAGGTGGTTCAAAAGAGATGAATGTTATTTGCCACACTGTTAAGTCTTTGAGAGGGACTTTATTTTACTCATCTCTTTTTTAATTCACGAGCTAATTTTAATAATAGATGTTACCATTGTATGCTTCTATTCCCATTTAATCCCTGCAGCAGCCTTCTGAGGCAAGCACCGTCATTATCCCGCTTTTGACATGAGACTCGGGGGTTTCGAGAGATGAACTACCTTGTTCAAGGTCATACACAATTGAACCTAGGTCCACCTGTCTCCACCCACTTCCACTGACTTTTAATAAGCGCTTGATCTGTTCATGGCCCTGGGGTGGGCACTGCAGGGAATACAGAGGTAGTTTGCTATTTCTAGTGGCATTTGGAACACTTCTTGTCCTATTTGAGATTCTCAGCGGTTCAGTGAGGTTTGGAGTTAGTCCAGGAGTAACAGAAGTCCCCATTTTACAGATAGGGAGACTGAGGCTCAGAGAGAGGAAGAGGCTTGCAAGAGCAAGAGACCACCTTTCATTCCCTGCCGCCACTCTGAGGGTGGGAATATGGGACTTGCTCAAGGGGTTAAGTGGGAGTTTTGATATCCAGAGCACAGTCAGGGACTGGGTTGCACATCCTGGCCTCTTCCTGTTGGCCCAGCAGGCTGATGGAGAACTCACTTCCTGCTGCTGGGGGGTAACTGGCAGGATGTAGGGAGCAGGGGGGAGTGGCTGTGTAAGCTAGCACTAAACAGCCTGGGCCATTCCCCTCCCCAAGGAGGGGAGGAGGGAGACATGGAAGAGAGAAGGCTGGCGGCTGGGAGTCCCCTGCGGCCCTCACACCTAGAGGCAGTGGGGGGCTCAGACCCTCCCTCCAACAGGCACTGACCTGGCACACCAGCTTTCAGAAAAACTTTGAAAACAATCTTATACGCTGATCCCTGCGCTTCACAGCTTCCAGCTGCTTTCTCATCCATGCCTGACGTCTTGCACGCCACACCTCTGACTGCAGGGCGGGGCTTCGGGATTCTTGTTCCCATTGGAAAGATGAGGAAGCTGAGGCCCAGAGAGGTTACAATGAGCAACCTGCCCTGGATCATACAGCAAGTCAGTTTCAGAGCTTGGGTCTCCAGAACCCAGGTGTCATGGCAAGGGGAGGAGGGGTCAATCAGAACCTTTCCAACTGTCCTCGGTGGGTCCTGCAGAGCACATAGGCCCTAGAAGTAAGGAACGAGGCCTCAGATCCAGACCAGGCAGAGATCTCAGGTTCTTCTGTTCTTCCCTGTGTGACCTCCTTGAACCAGTCTCTGCAGCTTAGCCTGTTTTTAAAATCTTTAGAATAGGTATAATAATGGCACACCAATGTTATGAGAAATAAGTGAGATGAAGTATGTAAAGTGCTCAGCACAAATCCGCAAAGGGACCCTAGTCTCCCTAATATTCTCCCAAGAGATAGTAAAACAGCCCACGACACACAGACACACAGATAGGTAAATGGTTAACATTTATTGAGCACTTCATATGTGTCAGGAGCTCTTCTAAGTGCATTTAGTCCTTACAAGGTCACCAGGAGGTCAGACCTGGTACTACGTCCATTTTATAGATAGGGAAATTGAGGCACAAGAGGTTAAGGGACTTGCCCAAGGTCATAACCTTAGCAAGTGGCAAAGCTAGGCTTCAAACCCAGGCACCTTGTCTCCAAAGCCCACGCATACTGCCTCCCTTAATAGCAATGATTAATTTTTTTAAATCATAACTTGCTTGGACACAGTATTCCATAGTTTATGAAGCATTTTCCCACCCACTCTTTCATTTATTTCTCACCACAGCAGCCCAGAGAGGGAGGCAATGTTTACTCCCTATTTATAGAGGGGAGGGGGAAACTGAGGCTGTGAAAGGGGGAACTACTTCATTGCCAAGGTCACAGAGCAAGGTCAGTGGCTGAAGTAGGGGTGGAATTTGGGATTTTCTCACTCCAAATTTGGGGTACTCTTCCCCAGCCTTACTCAACCCCTAAGCCCCCTAAACAGCGAGCCTTCTGGCTAGAAGCTTGAGGCTTTCTCCCCAGGGCGGTTGCTCTAGCTGGGCTTCCACTTTTCAGCTGGAGGGTCCCAAGGCTGGTCCTCCACCCCCTCCCACCTCTGCTCACTATCAGACGGGAGGAGCAGGAACTCCAGGGCTGGTGGAGTTTCCGACCAGGCAGGAAAAAGAACAAAGGAACTGCGTGGGGGGAGAGTGTGGAGGGGGTGACCGGGAGGGTGGCAGGAGTGGAGGGGACGCTTCGCCATGGAATATGAAGTCAAGAAAGGGAAAAAGGTAGGTGGGAGGTTGGGAGCGATGCAGGTAGAGATGTGTCCCCGGAGCTGGGGAAGCGGGAAGCCTGGGGTGGGGGGTGAGCAGCGAGGGGCAAAGTAGGACCTTTCTTCTCATTTGGAAGGATCTTCCTCCTGACCCTTGGGCAGCCAGACATTTGGGCTCCAAACTCTCTCACCTGTCCTCCTACTGTTAGTGCCCTCTGCCATCCCTGGAATGGACAGACAGACAGGTACTGTCCAGGGAAACTCAGCCAGATAGATCCATCAGAAGATACTCCCAAACTGCTTTCCTAGTGTTCTTGGTGGTTCCTTCCTGCAGCTTTTCAGACAGAGGGACAGACAGACACCCAACAGACCCATTCCCCTGCCTCCCCAGACAGAAGGACCTCAGCCAGGGCAATTCTGTGCCATGAGGCTGCCTGCCAGGCTTGACACGCCTACGTACTGCCCTGCTGGGTTCCAATCTAGCCTGCCCCCTCCCCATCTTTATACAAGGGGGCTGCTCTAAGGCCTCAGCCTGGGGGTCATTCCGCCACCCCCTAGATCCTCACCCTTTCCTGACTCTCGGAAGTTTTCTAGTCTGCTCCTCTGGGCATCTCACCTGGTTGTCTTTGCGGTTCAGGGAGCCCCTCGGATTCCAACCCCACCCTCACCCCACCCCCACGGAGCCCTCATCCCCCAGGAAACCTGGGTCAGACTGTTCTAAAAGGCTGCCATGTGAATCAAGAGGGCTCAGAAGGGAGCCAAGATGTACGTGCATCGTCTCTCTCTTGGTTCCTTCCTTCTATGGGTATTTACTGAGCACCTATTAAGTGCCAGGCTCTGTGTCTGGTACTGGTGATGATGCAGTGGTGAGCAAAGTCAGACAAGGTCCCCACTCCCTCCTTTGAGCTCACAGTCTAGTAGGGGAGGCAACTACTAATTTTTTTTTTTTTTTAAAAAGCAACTAATGTAAAATTGCATAAAAGTCTCCTTACACAGTGCTGGGGGACAGAATATTAGGGGACCCAGCCCTAGACTGGTCAGTCTAAGCTGAGATCTGATGGGTGGAAGGAAAGAGGGTAGGGAAGAGTGTTTCAGGCAGAGGAACAGCTTGTGCAAAAGCCCATGATGGGAAGGAATGTAGCAAGGAGGAGGGCCTGAAAGATGGCCCTGTAGCTGGAGGGCAGGAGTGAGGGGCAGTGTAGGGTAAGATAAGGCTGGAGAGGTGGGCAGAGCTGGACCATTCAGGGCCACAGACAAAACATTTACCTCCCCACCCCACTCACACAAACACACACGCTCATACACAGGATAAAGCTCCGGCTCCATAGCTGGCTTTCAAGGTCTCTATGACTTGTTCATCTCATAATTCAGCCACAACTGTATACACACAGCTTCTCCAGGCTTGTGCTCATAGGGCCGTTGAAGCCTCCAGGGTTTTGCACATGCTGGGCCCTCTGATTGGAATGCCCTTTCCAATGAGAGGGTTTCTCATTTCTCAGAGCTTCCACATACCTCATCCAGGCTCTATGATATTGGTTTTAAAACTTGAGCTGGTCGTGCAAGAGAATCACCTGATTGCTTGTTAAAACACAGACCACTGGGTCTCACCCCCACGTTCTGATCCATTAGGTCTGGGATGGAGTGCGAGAATGTGCATTTCTCTCAAGTTCCCAGGTGATGCTGTGTGGCTGCTGCTGGGGACCCAGGCACCACGCTGAGAACTGCAGCTCTAGAGTAGTGCTCAAACTTTCCTGCAAGAGTTAGATTCTGTCGGGCTGGGCTGGGGCCCTGGAATGTGCTCCTTTAACCTTCCTCCAGGCTATCTTTATGCAGGTGCCCACTGGATTACACTTAAATGTACTTATTAACTGTTTCTAATTTTTAGGAAAGCACGGAGAATAGCTTAACAAAGACCTTTGCTCTTACCACCCAGCCACACTGCATCCTAATATTTTCTGTACTTGCCCCAGCCTGGGCCCATTCCTTAAGTCCGAGCCCGGGCCTTGGCAGGGCCTCCACCCTCACCTGGGTATTTAAAATGGGATTTTTGGAGCCAGACTGCCCAGGGGTAACTATTGGTTCTACCGCTACTAGCTGGTGAACGTATCAGCTAGTTCTCTCTGGGGCTCAGTTTCTCCATCTGTAAAATGGGGATCACAGAACTCCCTTCCGCAGACCTTTTGTGAGAATTAAATTAGGTAAGTAAAACGCTAAGCATGGTAAGTGCTCAATAAAGTCTGTTGCTGTTACTGACTTTCTGTTATCTCCTTGCCTCCCCGGCCCACCCCTAGGGCTTCGTATCCCCCATCCGGAGGCTGGTGTTCCCCAAGGCCGCACGCCGAGCAGCCTTTCGGAGCAGTGTGAGCCGCCGACCCCTGCACTCCATGCCCCTCTATCCCCCCGACTACCTCATCGACCCCCAGATTCTGCTGTGTGACTACCTGGAGAAAGAGGTGAAGGTGCGTGCGGGATGAGGATAGGGTGTGGGAAGAATCTTGGGGTGAGGAGCGTAGAGGAAAAAGTTTTCCTCGACCCTCTTAGGGTCCCTGGCTGGGTCTGAAAATTAAACTGACAGAGAGAGTAACAAGAGAAAAGCATATGTATTTTATTAAATTTTTACACGTACATGAGAGCCTTCACAAGAGCATGAAGACGCCAAGAAGTGACCAGAGCAGGAGCTTTTATTCCTTTTTGACAAAGAAACAATAAATTTGTGTAGAACTGGCAAGGCAGAGTGGTTTGGGCTTGGGGTAGTAAATGGTGAAGAAGTAACAAGGTTTGTTTATACAGCCTTCTTGGCCCTAAATTCCCTGTATCTGGTGGTAAGGATGTCCCCCTTCCACCCAGTACCAGGGAGGGTACCTTTCACACCGGAGATTTATTTCCTGCTTTTCAGGGAAGAAGGGTGATGGGGGGGGGGTCAGAGTGACCTTCCTGCTTTTGACATTTTCTCAAACTCCTACAGCTTAAGATATTCAATAGGCCAAGGTGCCATATTTTGGGGCAGCATGTCCTGGACCCCATCAGGAGAGACCTTACCTGTCCCCCACACCAACTCCTAACCAGCCCTGTCTCACACAGGGGAGGCTCAGGGGAAAGAGGCCTGGGTTCAAGCCAGCCTCTTGGTCCTGAGGGTGTGGACCCTCAGCAAGTGTTCAGGCAATATAAGCTAGCAGTGAGGTTGTGGGCTCTGGTGTGTGGAGTCCAGACTTTCTGACTATATAATATTGGGCATGTTATTTAGCTTTGCTGTGCCTGTTTTCTCATCCTTAAAGCAAAGATAAATGAATGAACATGCATAAAGCTCTTAGGACTGTGTCTGGCTTCTATGACGGCCTTAATAACAGTTATTATCAGGTTATTACTATTAATTCAGATATTTCTAGCTCAGTCTGCCCACACTGCCTCCGGGAGGAGTCAGGGTCCTCCAAGGCTTCAGGGTGACCTCTCTCTGCCCTTTTCCCACCCCCACCCCATCTCTCATCCAGTTCCTGGGCCACCTCACCTGGGTCACCTCCTCACTGAACCCCTCCAGCCGGGACGAGCTCCTGCAGCTGCTGGACACGGCCAGGGTGAGGCTCTGGGGAGAGGGATGGGCAGGGTCTTGTCCCCTTGTCCCTCTCCCACCCGAGGCCGCCGGGGACTCAAGCGACCTGACCCACCCCGCAGCAGCTGAAGGAGCTGCCGCTGAAGACCACGGCGGAGCAGGACAGCATCCTGAGCCTGTCGGCCCGCTGCCTGCTGCTCACCTGGCGCGACAACGAGGAGCTCATCCTGCGCATCCCCACTCACGAGATCGCCGCCGCCTCCTACCTGCAGGACGACGCGCTGCACCTGCTCGTGCTTAAGACCGGTACAGCGGGCGGGGCCTGGCCGGGGGCAGGGCCGGGAGGCGAAGAGGGAAACGGCCAATGCCTAGCTTTGGGAAGGGGCATGACCTGGGGCAGGGGCGGGGCCTGAGACTGGGTGATGGGGTGATGGAAAAGGCCTGACCACACTACCCTAAGACTAGGGACAGGCCATATGCAGGAAGACGGAGCCCAAGGTTGAGGATGAAGGGTGGGCGGCCTGACCCACCATCCTGAGGCCAGGTGGCGGAGCCGGAGAAGGGTGGAGAAGCCAGAATGCTAAGACCTGAAGTTAAACGGCGAGGTGAAGGGGAGCGTGGCTGCGGCGCCCTGAAGCTGGAGGGAACCTCCGGCGAGGAGCCGAGTCCGATCTAGGGGCGGGGCCACAGGCCGGGGAGGCGGAGCTCGTGGCCAGGGTAGTTGGTGGGAGGGGTCGGACAAAGCCAAACTAGGGGCGGGGCCTGAGACCGGGGGCGGGGTTGAGGGGAAGCCGGAATCCAAGGAGGGGCCCTGAAACCAGGGACAGGGTCCGAGTCAAGGGTACAGAGGTAGGGGAGAGGTTGACCACCACCCTCAGACCAGATGGCGGGGGTCGGGTGGGCTGGTGGGAATGGCCTGCGGAGCCAAAACCAGGGGGGGGAGCCTGAGGCCGGGGGCGGGGCCCAAATGTAATAACGCGACGTGGGGGTGGGTCTGGCCTCAAGACTTTGGAGCCAGGGGCGGGGCCAGGCGCGGGTGGACCTCTGGGTGGCAAGGTCAGTCCCCCCAGCTGGCCTCGGGAGGGGGCTCTTAGCCCGGATCGCCTGCGGCTGACGGCCACCCGGCCTCTCCTAGGTCTGGGCGTGGACCCGGTGCCGGCCGGCGTAGACGCCAGCCCCGGCGGCGCGGGGCGCGACC